ACTCCATCAACCTGGCTAACACTGTTTGACCTGACTTGAAGAACCCCAGAGACTCCGTCCCAACCAACTTATGGGCTCACCCATGCTGCTTTCCAAATTAATGGCTGGTCTTGGCTCATGTTTCACACCTTCCTAAATCCTCTCAAACAAGTAACAGCTGGCTTCAGTGAGCCCCAGGGCTGGCACTAGCCTAAATTCAAAGCCTGGATTCACCTGGGAATCTCTAAGTCCAGCACAAGTAGCAGCCACCTCAGATTGTTTTATACCTTAGCCAGGATGATCCTGGGAAAACACAGGTGGGGTCTGACCTAAGCATGCACCACCTGGGAAACCTCAGAGCCAGCCCACCTAGTGAAGAGCTACACACCACATTGGACCACCACCACCCTGCCCCTGCACAGTTGATCCTCCATGGTGGGGGAGAGTGGTGGTAAGTGTTCACATTGAATCCTTGCAGCTGACTGGCCTGGGTAAATCCTTCCCATTGACCTGCAAACAGCAATGAAGGCTCAACTACAAGAGAAGGGTATACTTAGCCCATACAAAGGGTGCACCTCAAGTATCCAGCTTGGGTGATAGGGGAGGCTGTGCTACCGGACAGGGCAGGACACCTACCTAATATATTAGGTCACACTACCAAGATACGGAGTCAAAGCAGCTGTGACTAATATATAGAAACAAACACATGGAGGCTGCCAAAATGAGGAGGCAAAGAAACATGGCCCAAATGAAAGAACAGGTCAAAACTCCAAAAACAGCTAAAAGAAAAGGAGATAAGCAATGCATCAGGTGCAGAGTTCAAAATACTGTTAGTAAGGATGTTCAGGGAACTTAATGAGGACCTCAGCAACATAAAAAAGATCCAGTCTGAAATCAAGGATACACTAATTGTAATAAAGAACAATTCACAGGGAAACAACAGTAGAATGGATGAAACAAGAATCAAATCAATGATATGGAACACAAGAAAGCCAAAACAAGTGATCTAAATAACAAGTAGAAAAAGGAATCACACACACACACACAAAAAAAAACAAAGATAATCAGCCTTTGGGACAACTTCAAGAGTTCCAACATTAATATCATGGGAGTACCAGAAGGAGAAGAGAAAGAGCAAGAAATTAGAAATCTATTTGAAAAAAATGAAAGAAAACTTCCCTAATTTGATGAAGAAAATAGACATATAAGTCCAGGAAGCACAGAGAGTCCCAAACAAGATGGATGCAAAGAGGCTCTTAAAAGCAGCAAGAGAAAAGAAATTAATTACATTCAGGGGAGTTCCCATAAGTCTGTCAGCTGATTCTCTAAAGAAACTTTGTAGGCTAGAAAGGATTGACAAGAAATATTCAAAGTCATGAATAGCAGGGATCTATAGCCAAGATTGTTCTACCCAGCAAAGCTATCATTAGAATTGAAGGGTAGATAAAGAGCTTTCCAGACAAGAAAAAAACAAAGGAGTTCATCATTACCAAACCATTATTATATGAAATTTTAAAGGGACTTATTTAAAAAAAGAAGAAGATCAAACTATAAACAACAAAATGACAAAAAATACAAATCTATCAACCATTGAATCTAAAAATCAAACTAAACAAACAAGACAACAGAGACAGTATCATGGTTGCAAAGAGTGTTTTGATGGTTGCCAGATGGGAGAGGTGTGTGGGGGAATGGGTGAAGAGGTGAGGGCATTAAGAAATACAAATAGGCAGTTACCAAATAGCAACAGAGATGTAAAGTATGATATAGGAAATGAAGTAGCCAAAGAACTTATACGTGTGTTCCATGGACACGAACAATGGTGGGGGAGATTGCCTGAATGAGTGTGGGGGTGCTAGGTAGAAGGGGTAAAGGGGGAAAATCAGGACAAATGAAATAGCATAATTAATAAAATATAATTTAAATAAAGAAAGAAAGAAGAAAAAAGAAAGTGCATAATAATTTGCTCACAGTAGTATTTTTGAAGATTAAAATAATGCAAGGAAAAAGGACTCACAGACATGGACAACAGTGTAGTGATTGTAGGAGAGAAGAAGAAAGGTATAATGGGACTAAATGATAGTGAAAAAATACAATAAAATTATTCAAAAAAATAAAATAAAATAATGCAAGTGAAAGCATTTTTCAGCTTTGAAATGTTCCATATAAAGTGTTATTTTGTACTATTATATTCTAAAGTAACCTACTTACACTGAAAACAAAATCCAGTTGACATGTTGACTGGATTTACATGAACTAAGAGCAGATTCGTTAGTGAACAGAGGATTCAACCATCCTGGCAAAATCCAACACATAGTCTATACAATAACAATAATAAAATAAGGAATACATCTTAACTGAGTTTTTAATTCTGTTCTTGGAAAAATGCTGTCACCTTGTAGCCTTAATCTTTTGTCATCCTCATAACAACCATATTAGGTCAGTGCTATGTACCCATTTCACAGATGGACTTAGTGAGGTTAAAGAACTTCCAGAGTCAGAGAGCTCCAGTAGCAGCCCTGCACCAGAGCAAATCTATGTCTCTATCATCCTTTCTCTTTACCCCTAGGATAACATGCCTTTACTAAGTGAAATAAAAGTTTGACTTGAATTTTAAGTTTCAACTGCATTTAAATAAGTATATTCTCAAAGGAAAGAAGGGAGGGAAGTAGGTGGTAGGAAGGTGGGGAGCTGGAAAGAGAATTGAGTAGGGCCGGGCAGGAGAGAGGAGTAATGGGAGAGGATAAGAAAACAAAAAGGGAAAAGAAAGAAGAATGTCTTATACATTTTTGAGCAGCTTAAACAAATTCCACATTCTCACAGATATTATTATAGCAATTGTTAATTTTGATGATAATTAGAACCATAAAAAGTTTAAATCAAGACTTGAATATTTGTTCACACAGTTACCATCTGATAAGACCTACATTCTATAAAAACATGGAAGGAGAGATGCTGTGGTTTCTGTTTCAATTAAAATTTTTCCCACGTTACATATTTGTCCTTAAAATATAAATCGTAACATTATTGTTTTGACAAGCCTTTTCTAAAGCTCTCCTATGGAATGTAAATGTATAGGCCACTCAGGACTCTTCCTCTGTTCTTCCTCTAAAGAGAATCACCTGTAAATTTCCAGGACAAGAACATATGACAGTGTAATGCACACAGTGGAAGTTATGGGTGAATATTATATAGATAACATACGCACACAAAACCTGAACGAGCCATTCCCTCTTTAGTAAATAAAATATGATTACAACTGCTTCTAATGTCTCATATATACTTGGAAAGAGCTGACACTAAAAAGTCATTCTACTTTTAAGTATAAAGAGATTTTAAGTATAGAAGTATTATACTTGATGTTATGTTGTAAATGTACTGTTTTAAGATTTGAGGTTTTTAGAGCAGTTTTAGATTCATCATGAAATTGAGAGGAAAGGGCAGAGATTTCCCTGGCCAGATACACACAGCCTGCCCTGTTATTGGTATATTTGTTATTATTGATGACCCCAACTTGACACATCATTATCATTCAATGTCCATAGTTTACATCAGAGGTCACTTTTGGTGGTGTACCTTGTAAGGGTTTTCAAAAATGTACACTGACATATATTCACAATTATAGTATCACACACAGTTTTACTGCCCTAAAGATCCTCTGGGCTCCACTTATTCTTTTCTCCCCCCAAAATTCCTGACAACCACTGATCTTTTTACTGTCTCCATAGTTTTGTCTTTTCTAGAATGTCAAATAGTGGAATCATGGTTTATGCAGCCTTTTCAAATTGAATGCTTTCACTTAGTAATATGCACTTAGAGTCACAGGGAGTTTATAGGATCCTTAGGAAAGTTAAGAAAAAAAATTGCCTTAAATTTACCTGACATTCAATTTGCCTACTGCTATCGACTGAATTGTGTCCCCCACAACTCATATTTTGAGGCTCTAACTGCCAATGTGACTATATTTGGAGATAGGGGTTTCAGGAGATAATAAAAATTAAATGAGGTCATGGATGTATGGGACTCTGATCCCACAGGATTGGTGTCCCTGTAAAGGATAGCAGAGAGTTTGCCTTTGTTCTTTCTCTGTCTATACCATATGAGGACACAGTGACAAAGCAGCCAGCCATCTGCAAGCCAGGAAGAGGAACTTCAGCAAAAACAGATTTAGATTCAGCCAGCATTGTGATTTGGGATTTCCACTCTCCAAAAGTGTGAGAAATAAATTTCTGTTGTTTAAACCTCCCAGTTTGGTATTTTGTTATGGTAGCCTGAGAAAATGCATACACCTAATAAAATTGAAAAGTATTTCAGATGTTTTGCTGTTTTAGTTATTTTAAGGTGAAAATTAATGAAATAAAAAAATTCAAAAAGCCTTTAGAAAATCTAGTTAAAATATCTTTAAAATATTCAAAATTAGATACAGCAAAACCAGACATTTCAAGGATTACTTTAATATTTATAAAATACCATTTGCAAAACACAACACATAAAATAACTTATTCCTACAGAAATAAAACAAAAATACATTAAATTTTGTAATTCCAAGTTCATCAAAATGATCTTCCATAACTTGGGCACTGGAATATGCGCATGCACACATAAGCACACATGCAGTAGGACATCACAGTTACTTTTAAGAAGGAATGACTTCATGATTGCTCTTCCTTTCTTGTTGGGGAAAATATTTGGGTATTTGAAGGAAATGAGAAAACAGAGTCTGCACAATAATTAAAATAATGACCAAAGACAGAACCGGAAATATTCAGGAATTAATACATTGGCTGGGTTTACAATCATGGTAAATAAGTCAAGACTGTAAATTCAAATCTTTGTAAAACACATAACAGTTATGTTTGTTAATGGTTAGTAAAACACAATAATATCTTATAAATGGAAATTTTAAACGCAAATACTAATGCATGCTTTCATTAAAGTTTCTTTGAATGGAAATTTGCGGTATTTGTTTGTGGACATAAGAGGACACAATCCCAGCAGTCATGCAGTAAGGGCATAATTACCTGCTCAGGTTTGGTGGGGCCATTCACAGTGGCATTTTCAGGAGTGCTGTCCTGAGGTGGTTTCATGCATAGACCTTTTGCTGCATCTTTGAACATAATGTCTTTTTCCAGCAAACTATCTTGCTTGGCAATTGGCAACACCAGGGGATTGCTACAGGAAATAATCAATACTATAATTAGTCTTTTTGTAACATGGCTAGATCAATCATAAATTACCACAACAGAACACCTCAATTATAGATGTTTTTTAATCCAGGTAAGAAACAATTTCTCAATAGCACAGGAAAAAAAAAAAAGGGGAAATCTGAAAGCCTTCTTAGCCTTCCTATTATCTCCAAATTTCATTCAATTTCACATTTAAAAGAAAAATTTTTTCAACTTGAAGAGAATATGTTTACAAATATATATATGGCTGTAACAGACAAACCAATAAGCAATTTAAAAGCTAAATTTGACTCACATGATTCAACTAAAGGAATATATATTTTAATGTGAATCTTATTCATAAACCAGGGAAGGCAAAATTATACAATCACTTAAAATACAGTACCTATCGGATTTAAAATGCTATAGCATTACAGGCAATATTTAAAGTTTATAACTAAGTAACAATAGGTTACTAAGAGAAAAAATGATGGACATAAGAATGTAATATTACAAAAAGAATAATTTTTATTATTTCTACAGCTCAATCTAGCCAAAAAATAAAATAAAACTACTTTGTTTTTTCCTATAGACTGAATTGCCAAGAGAAAGACATTCTGTAATTTTCATAAAAATAAACACAATCTGTTGAATTTTCATTATAATATTTTTATATTAACATCTTAAAATATATTTTCCTAAATGTTACCACACAAGCAGAAATACATACATATTGAATCAGGTGCAATATATGTAAACGTAATTATTTTGTGTAGTCTGCAATAGTAGTTGTGATTCTAGTTGAAGCTCAAAGCACTTACTTTGGTTTTTTAAAATTCAAGTTTATTGAGTTATATTTACATTTACAATTCAATGAGTTTTGAATTGTATATATATTTTTAGTGGTGTAATCAACATAACAGCAACTGATAAAACTTTTCTCACTCCTATGTGTCTCTATGTGTACACCCTTTGGAGTCGATTACCTCCCTTCATCTCCTGGCTCTTGCAAACACTAACAATTATTTCTTTCACCACAGTTTTGCCTTTTCCAAATTGTCATATGAAAGGGGTATGTATGACTTCATTTATTTAACATAATTTTTTGAGACTCATTCATGTTGCTACATATAGCAATAGTTTTTTTTTTTATGGCTGAGTACTATTCTACTGCAGGATATAGTATAATTTGGCTATCCATTCACCAAAGTTTTAGGTCATGTCCATTTTTTGTCAGTTGTGAATACAGCATCTATATACATCCAAATACAGGTGTTTGTGCAGACATATGCTTTCATTCATGTTGGTTAAATATCTAGGAGAAACTCCAAACAGTTTCCAAACTGTTGTGCTATGTGGCGCTTCCCCCAGCAAAGCAGTGGAGTTCCACTTACTTCACATCCTTGCCAATAGTTTTAAAAACCGTTCTAATAAAGTGAGTTTGTGGTTTCTCACTAGGGTTTTAATTCTCATTTCAATGTGTTTATCTGACATAAGTATGACTGCTTTGGTAAAGTATAAGTTCAAATCTTTTGATTATTTTTTACTAGGTCTTTGTTGTCAGGTTATCAAGTTTATATATTTGGATTTAAGTCTTTTATCATATACACACTTGGCAAGTATTTTCTCCCAAGCTGTGTCTTATCTTCATTGTTTTAACAGTGTGTTTCAAAGAACATTTTTTCTCTTACAGTTTGTGCTTCTTATGTCTTATCTGATAATTTGGTTCTGAACACAAGATGAACATGTTTTTCCCTAGGTGTTCTTCCAGAAATTTTAGAGTTTTATGCTTTAGATTTAGGTCTATTATCCATTGTAAGTGGATTCTTGTACATGGTGCTATATATGAGTCATGGTTCATTATTGTTTCATATGGTTGTCCAAATGTTCCAGCATCATTCCTGAAAAGAACACTGTTCCCCAACCAGCTACCTGGACAGCCACGTTAAACATCGATTGACCATATATGTGTGGGTGTATTTTTAGGACACTCCATTGCATTCCATTGACATAATAGTCTATTTTTATGCCAATATTATTACACTGTCTAATGAACCATCATAGTAATGTTTTAATCAGGTAATATGCCTCATCCAACTTTGTTTTTTTTAAATTGTTCTAGATATTTGTGGTTATTAGCATTTTTACATAAATTTTAGAATCTCTTTTTCACTTTTTATAAACACACCTGTTGTAATTTTCATTAGGACTGTATTCAATTGATAAACCAACAGGGGAGAATTCACAAACTAACAATGTTAAATTCTGTCACCCATGAGCACAGTGTATTTCTCCACTTATTTTGATATTCATTAATTTCTAGCATCAGTATTTTATAGTTTTGGGCATGAAAATCTTGCAAATAACTTGTTTTATTTATTCTTATATATTCCCTATTTTTATGCTATTGTAAATGTCTTTTTTTAATTTCAATTTCCAGTTGCTGATTTTTAGTATACAGAAATATGAACAATTTCATATCTTAACCTCGATAGGGGAGGAAGAAAGGGATTTGAAGGGCTTCTTTCAGTAACCATATGTCTCATCATTTTGCAGCCCATCCCTATGCCCAGTCTTCCGGCTCTACTCTAGTCTAGGCAAGTAAGACAGACTAGTAAATGGCTACATGAAGGCCAGGCCTAAAGGAATACCAGAGTTAGCAAAAGAACTCACTTACAGAAATGTGAGGTCAGTTTTATTTCCTTTAAACTCTGGATAATGATGTTTTAAAGCTTTTTAGTCAGTGAAGATATTTTCAGGTAGGGGGAATATATGTTTCTAAAAGGCAGCATGATATATATAGCTGCCACATGCACACATTTTTGAACCAGAAATACTACACAGCTTGATGTCTGGCTCTGCCACCTCGGGCCAGTTATAAAACCATTGTGAAACTGGTTTATAAACCAATTTGTAAAAAAGGCTTGTAGTGAGGGGTCACTAAATATAATACACATAAAGGGCTTAACACAATGACTATGGCAATAGCAAGCAATAAAATTAGCTGTTGCCCGAATGTGTGCAGAACTGCATAGTGTCTGGTATTTTACTCTACTTACAAGCTCTAACAGGTTAGCCTGTTACTCTTTCATGGATGGGTGCAGAAGACAAAAGATTCCTGGATTAGAGACAGAGAACTTTACTACTCATTGCAAACACAGTATCCAGAGCTTTATGTTTGCACAAGTTCTTTCCCCTTCCAATGGAGGGTAGGAGTGAGTACCACAAGTGGAACTAAATGGATACCTACACATGCAGCATGTTATGTTATAGGAGAAAAACCTGGCCAAGGGCCAAGTACTTTCTGAACAAGAAGCACGCATTGTACCAAGGAGCAGACAACCTAGTGCCCTCCTTTGGGAATGAGTGCTTTGGTCTCTATGACCTACTTAGTCACCTGTGTGGCTAACTACATAGGCCTCACAGTCTGACAAACTGAGCAGGAACGTGAAGGGTGCTCAGGGCACATATCTCTCTCAATAATGTGCTTATTCATTTTAAATATTTACTATAAAAAAGAATGCCATAAAGCTTATGACATTTTATATCTAGGTCTGCTTGAATCTAGTGATAAGATATCCATGATTCCCAAAAAAGCCTTTTTTCTTCCATGAGAAATTTAGAACAATGCCTGTCTGCTCAAATGTGTATTCATCATTCTTAAAGCTCCCCAAAGTGCCCCTTGTGCTTCTTTGATATGATCCCTTCAAATATTTGAAAACAGTTGTAATTTCCCTATATTTTCTATAATTTAAGTGAGCCACTTAAACATTGCAAAACATTAAATAATTATATAGAATTTGAGGTGTGACAGTCTCTGTTCTAAGTATGCTCTGCATATCAACACTTTATTTGACAACCCCATTATAAGGTAGGCACTATTTTTATACTTACTCTGTAGAGGAGTTAACTGAGGGCCACAGGGAAGAACTTGATCTGGACACATGGCAAACAGGAGGGGAGTTGAGCTCCAGAGCTTGTGTCCTTAACCCCCATGCCACACGGCCTACATCTGAAAATCTACCCTCACATGTACTAAAGCATTCCCTTATTTATTTTCACTAACATCAATCACCTTCTTTTTCTGGAGAAAAAAACTAAAAAAACTTCTTTTTGCAGATACTTTTGAGTATACAGCTATTAATAAAGTAATGGTTTGGTTGGTCAGGTAGAAACTAGAAAGATTGATGAAATACATGAAATCACCAATGTAAAAGATTTATAAAATGAAAAAAAAATAGTGAGTTTACTAAAACAGCAGGCTCCTTGAGAGCTATAGTTGAAAAGAAGATTGGTCTTGGCGTGGAGTGACCTCATTCTATGTCAGTTTTTACAACACATTGGTCTAACCTCCTAAGGTCCCCAACCTTTTTGGCACCAAGAGCTGCTTTCCTGGAAGACAATTTTTCCACAGACTGGGGCAGGGGGGATGATTCAAGCACATTACATTTATTGTGTACCTTATTTATATCATTCCATTGTAATATATAATGAAATAATTATACAACTCACCATAATGCAGAATCAGTGGGATCCCTGAGCTGGTTTTCCTGCAACTAGATGGTCCCATCTGGGGGTGATGGGAGACAGTGACACCCAAAGTGTGTGTTGTTATGCCCAGTCTACTCCCTAATCTCATTTTGGTTGCTGTCACTGCAGAAAACCCTGCTTCATAAAGATAGGATGTTGGAAATGGAAGCAGGATTTTCAGTGCTTTTGTGTCAATCTCAGGCGGAAGCCTTGACTTTAATCCAGAACATATGGAGATTTGAAGTCAACTCAAACATACTTTTAAGGCCACTGTCATTTGCGATCTCAAGCAGTTGATATTCTAGTGCAGACAAAGTCAATTCACCTGCATTATTCACAAATGGGTTGCGGATCCATTTCTTCCTGGCGCGAGGGTTTTTTGTGGTTGGGAGGTAATGCTCAAACTATTTTGAAAACTGAGAGAGGTGATTATGCACCAGCTGGGAGAGAGAAGGCCGTGGCTCCAGCTCTTTCAAA